TCCCACAAGTCACCGGCTACTCTGTGATGGCACAATTCCTTATGCAATGTAACTGGTTCTTCCTTCTTAGTCTAGCAGTTTTCCAAAACTACAACACAGCTTTCTGGTAATACATGAGCAGGACAGCTAATATTTATCATCAAGGTCAAAATATTTTAAAAATCAAGGCAGGATTTAAAACAATGCTGACCGTTATTCACAATGCTGCATTTTATGCCTTTCTGAATAGTGTAATATGATTTTGAAATTTCATTACAACAAGAATACTCACTGTCTCAAAATGATACAATGGAATTTTTATATATACTATATATAATATATATATTATGTAATTATATATTATATATCATATATTATATATTATTATATATATTATATATTATTATATATCCCAAAATATATATTATATATTATATATTATTATATATATTTTTTATATTATATATTATATATTATTATATATATATTATATATTATATATATATATTTGGGATGGAGTCTTGCTCTGTTGCCCAGGCTGGAGCGCAGTGGTGCAATCTTGGCTCACTGCAATCTCCGCCTCCCGGGTTCAAGTGATTCTCCTGCCTCAGCCTCCCAAGTAGCTGGGACTACAGGCATACACCACCACAGCTGGCTAATTTTTTGTATTTTTAGTAAAGGCAGGGTTTCACCATGTTGGTCAGGCTGGTATCGAACTCCTGACCTCAAGTGATTTGCCCGCCTTGGCCTCCCAAAGTGCTGGAATTACAGATGTGAGCCACCACACCTGGCCAGAATCAAGAATTTTTAAAAAGTAGGCAGGTTCTTAGCTACTGGCAACCAACAGCCACTCATTAAATAACTCTAGGACTCAAGTGTTAGCTTTTCCATGTTTTCTTCTAGCTTTTGTTCACATACACACCTACTTTACTTATAATCAGCATATGCACACAATGTTCAGCCTACCTCTACGTTTTTGCTTAATATTTTGTGAACTGCTCCATATGCTGATACAGTCATACCTCATTTTACAAGACAATCACATAGACCAAATGCATTCATGTGTTGTACTTCACATGAACATTCCCCTACTAGTGGTCATTAAGGTCGTTTCCAATTTTTAGCCATAATGAACAGAAATGCTGCAATTAAAATTCTCATGCACAAAATTTTTTTTCTTTTGGACTATTTCCTAAGATTAAAATAATCAGGGATACGATTATGAGGTCAAAGGTGACAAACATTTTAATGACTCTGGATACTTAACACCCAACTGCTTTCTAGAAGGCAATACCAATTTACAGCATACACCTACACCAGCTCCTTCAGAACATGCTGGCCCTCAGCTTTGAAAAAACGTAATTCCATAACAATAAAAAGTTCTCTATTATTGTCTCTATTAAAGCTAACAATTTAGTTAGCAATCTAAAGGCTGCTTCACATGACGCACAGAACTTCATGTAATCAAGTGCTAAATAGTCTGGCAGAGCAGAGTCTGTTGATGAGGACACACACATACTAGCTGTGTGACACTAGGCAACTCATTTAACCTGTGTCACAATTTCCTCATTTGTAAAGTAGAGATAAAATTCATAAGGTTGCTGTGAGGACTAAATGAGAAGCGTTTAAAAGGCCTGGTGTGGTGGTTCATGCCTGTGATCCCAGTACTTTGGGACGCCAAGGTGGGTGGATCACCTGAGTTCAGTAGTTTGAGACCAGCCTAGGTGACATGGCAAAACCCCGTCTCCATAAAAAAAAATACAAAAATTAGCCAGGTGCAGTGGCATGCACCTGTAGTCTCAGCTACTCGGGAGGCTGAGACAGGAAAATCACTTGAGCCTGGGAGGCAGAGGTTGCAATGAGCCGAGATTGTGCCACTGCATGCTAATTTGGGTGAGACAGCAAGACCCTGTCTCAAAAAAAAAAAAAAAAAATATTTGAGTGAAGAGCAGAAGAGCTGTGTTTGGCACATAGGTGATGTGTCAGCTCTTATTAAGATGTCTACCACGACTGCGGCTGCCACCACTGCCATTGCTGGGGGTTGGGGGGGGGTGGGCGGGGCCATCAAAGAAAGCTAAAACAGCCAGATACACTTCCATTCCAATCTCTCATTCGTGAATGCTCACCAGTCATTTGCACTTAACAGACAGTCTATTCACAACCAAACAAAACGTACTCAGTAAGAAAACTCATCTTTTACCCTTACCGGCTCCTCTACTCCAAATCCTCTTAGTGCACACTCCCTTCTACTGCCTGGCCCCCAACAGTCCCAGTTTCTTCAAGTCTCCCTTCACCATGGCCTCTTCTCTATCGTCTATTTTGTGCCAAATCCTGTTGCTCCTTCTTTGAATATTTCTGACGTGTTCTCTTTCCTCCTGTTCCCACTGCTCCCACTTTCTTCTCATCTCAGACGTGGCTGCCATCTCTTCACTAGTTTTCTGGCCTTGAATGTCTCACCTCTCAAGTCCATCTCTAAGCCACTCTATGTTTCTCTAGAATAACCTGCATCAGGACTCCAGAACCCACGGTGGGGTTCCTCACTGCATCAAGTCCAAACTGCTGACTGGCCTGCAGGGCCCTCCTTACACCTTGGTGTGTGGAATCGGCAGCCTCTGCACTGTTCCAGCTCACCAGAGTGCCTACCAAATCTGCAGAAAGCTTCCCGTCTGAACACCATTACATGTTCGTTCATTTGCACAACAGTGCAAATACAATAAGCAATGCCTAAGAACCCAAGCTACTGCCTTCTAAAAGTCTGTTTTTACAAGTCAGAGGTAAAAATTCCACGTACCCTTCCATCAGACAGATGTGCCTCCTAGAACTAAACACCTCCAGCTGTCTCCCATCTTGGTGGGCCACGTCGCCTCTTTATGTATCTAAAAGCCACCATCCTTCAGGCGGTTCAGGCTCACTTCCTCTTACAGGCTAGCTCCAACTTTTCCAGTCAACACATCTCTCTCCCGTCCATAAACTAATGTATCTTTGTGATCAGTATCATTTCATTGCCCTCTACTTGTTTTACATATGTTAGTTCTGTCTCTCTGACTAGACTGAGCTCCTTAAATGCAGAGATCAAAGAACAGCTAACATTGAGCATTTACTATATTACTACACCTTCAGGATTTATTTTATGTAACTGTCCTATAACCCTACGAGCTCAGTTACTCTTTTTTTTGTTTTGTTTTTGTTTGTTTTTTGAGACGGAGTCTCGCTCTGTCACCCAGGCTGGAGTGCAGTGGCATGATCTCGGTTCACTGCAACCTCCATCTCCTGGGTTCAAGCGATTCTCCTGCCTCAGCCTCCCGAGTAGCTGGGACTACAGGTATGTGCCACCACACCCAGCTAATTTTTTGTACTTTTAGTAGATATGGGGTTTCACTGTGTTAGCCAGGATGGTCTCAATCTCCTGACCTCATGATCCGCCCACCTCAGCCTCCTAAAGTGCTGGGAATACAAGCCTGAGCCACTGCACCCAGCCAAAAAAATGTTTTTAATTGCCTACTAGGTTTAGACCATTTAAATTGGTTGGATGACCATACTTCTCTGATTTTCTAGGAAGAATCTAATTTCAAATAGTCTATCTTGCTAAACACTCTTGTATATATGTGTGTATGTATATATAGTATGTATATACACATATACATACATACATTCATACTGGTTTTAGATCCAAAAACCTATGGCAATTATAGCCATAAGTAAAACAGACAAAAATAGGTCCCCAGCACAATGGCTCATGCCTGGAATCCCAGCACTTCATGAGGCCGAGGCAGGGGAATCACTTGAGGCTACAAGTTTGAGACCAACCTGGCCAACATGGTGAAACCCCATCTCTACCAAAAATACAAAACTTGGCGGGGCGTGGTGGCGCACACCTATAATCGCAGCTACTTGGGAGGCTGAGACATGAGAATTGCTTGAACCCGGGAGACGGAGGTTGTAGTGAGTCGAGATCATGCCCACTGCACTCCAGCCTGGGTGACAGAGTGAGACTGTCTCAAAAAACAAAAACAAAACATACACAACAACAAAAAAAAACAAGAAAAATAGACCCAAAGTGTTCAGCAGAGAGAAAAACATTAAAGGACGAAAGAAAATTACGTTGTATCTGATCTATGCTAAATATGCATATTCTACAAACAAGTATATCTACACTTTGCATAATATTTCAAAACTAAACAAAGAATTAACCTACCAGATTTTAGAAACCATCTCCACTTAGAAAAATTTCTTCTAAAAATAAACTTCCTTCAAATAAGCAAAATAAAGCATTATAAAACTTAATTACCATGCAGGCATAGGATAAAGCAAATACAGTAAGCTGTATATTTAGTTACAAATATGTAGTAAAGTACAGATCTAGACAATGAATACATGAGTATTTACTGTATCATTCTTTTTATTATTTTTTTTTTTTTGAGACAGACTCTAGCTCTGTTGCTCAGGCTGGAATGCAGTGGCGCGATCTCGGCTCACTGCAATCTCTGCCTCCCAAGTTCAAGCAATTCTCCTGCCTCAGCTTCCAAAGTAGCTGGGATTACAGGCAAGCGCCACCAGGCCTGGCTAATTTTTGCATTTTTAGTAGAGACGGGGTTTTGCCATGTTGGTCAGGCTGGTAACTGTATAAGTCTTTCAACCTTTCTGTACATTTGAAATTTTTAGTAAAATATTGAGGAAAAATGGAGAAGAAAAATTTAGCTATCAAAATAGAATTAAACTCTCCTAAAGCAGACATGTGTGTGTTTGTATAAAAACCAGAGAGTTATACATTAAAAATGAAGTATTTTGTTTGAGAGGTTAACATCAAGTTGAAGTCATCAGGACAGGCTACGATTCTGAAATTCCTGTTAAGCTGTAAATTATTCTTGGCCATTATCAGAACCCCAGTGGTTTCCATTGTTTTCATCTCATAAAACCCCAAGTTAAAGAACACTATTAGATATTATTTTGGGTATTTACCTGGACTGGGTGGTCCTAAACTGACTATCATAGCCAAGATTTTGGTTACCAGAGAGAGCAAATAAAGGTTAACAGCGGTGGACTGGTGTTTTAATGGGGAATTCTTCTATTTGAATGTTCAATTCATTAACAATACACTCCTTAAAAAGGTGCTGAGAGGATTAAAGAATTGTAAAACACCTAGCTGGGCACCTGGCCCACAGTAGGCACTCAAAAATGTTCGTTTCCCCTTTTCTTCCCCATCAATTTTCAATTCTTGTGAATCCGTCCTCCTCTAGTACCAGGTTGATGTTGTGCCTTAACAAAAAAAAAAAAAGGAAAGAAAGAAAAAATGATTTATGTCATTTTTGGGGTCCAGATCCCACCATTAAATCCAAGGTGCAACTCACCTTATTTCCATGTACTCCATGTAGTACTAAGAGGATAACTGCAGGTTGCAAGGCAATCTCACAGCATACAAATTTTAGTCATCTAACTTTCTAAGAACATATTGTGGCCTAAAGCTCAATGCTTTCTTTGTTGTTCTCCATTACTACAAAAGGTTTAACTAATTTTTAAAAGTACATTACATGCTGAATTATATTGAACTATAACATGCTCATTGTAGAAAATGCAAAAAATATGAAAAGGAAAGCAACTACGATTCTACTATGCTGACTGGTTATTTTTCAATGATAAAAGCTGACCCAGTTGGTTGTTTAGAGGAAGAGAATTTAAGTATCTCAATGACCCAGGCACAGTTTTTGCATGGTACTTTACTTAATTCTCCAACACGTAGTGTTCTATCACATGATAATTCATAATGAAATTTATCAATCGCCCTATATTAACATTTTTAGTTTTTTACATTCCCCCAAATCAGATCACTTAACACTTTTGATTATCCATTCCTGCTTTGCTTTTGTTCTTTATTTAATTATGATTACACTGTATATATAATTTCATACACAGACAAGCTTGCCCTGGAAAATATTGTTTTTCTTTCTGTTTTTTTTTCTATTTTTATTTTTTATTCTGGAAAATATTTCTAATTCAACATACTTCATAAAATCCTATCTCACATTGCCTTTTAGAGAACTGAAGATGGTTCTCTGTTGTTGTACTAAAATACAGGAGAGCAAAAAGGCATTGGTCTATTTTAATGCCATGATTCACAAAAGGAAATTAAGGGGGGAAGTGAGCTGGCGGAAATTAATAAAATATCCTATGATTTGATCTATATGGAGGGGAGACTAAGGCGGAGATTGTGTTACTGCAATTATTGATCTCCCAAAGACTTCTGAACACTGAAACTTTTCTAATAAAAAAATTACACATTTTTCTAAACAGATCTAATAGAGAAATACTTTCAACTACCAGATATGAATAAATATAATCCATGGTAACTAAGAATACCTTTTTCTGAAGAAAAAGTATATTTGTGCCCAACAGTATTTATATGTGAGAGCCTATCATTCTCCAAAAATATGCATGAATTCACAGGAATACTGATGCAGAATATGTGAGAACAAGCTTGGATACAGCTATCTGGGTATCTTTATTAAATATAAACATTCCATTTTTAAGCAAATGGAGAATGGGGAAAATTAATAGGATTGTATGTATAGCAGATAATGCATGCAGAAGAGCAGAACTCAGAACCAGGCACTTAAAAGTGTCCTTGCAGAATCTTACCTAATCATTTTATCCAAGTTAAAACTGAAAAGGCACTACAGTCGGCCCTCTGTGGCCAAAGGTTCCGCATCCTTGGATTCAACCAACCTCGAACTGAAAATACAGTATTCTCAGGATGCAGAACCCTTGGATATGGAATGCCAACTTTTCATATCAGCAGATTCCACATGGCCAACTGCAGGACTTGGGCATCCACAGATTTTGCTATCTGCAGAGGGCTCTGGAAGCAATCCTTGAGAATACTGAGTGATGGCTATATTAAACACAGGTAGTATTTATTAAACATGCACAGAATACATCTGGCGGCACAAAAAAATATATAGCAATAGTGATTGCCTCCGGAGAAAGGAAGGTCAGATTGGAGATTATGAAGGAGACAGATTCATTTTTCACAGCATACCCTTTATACTGTTTAAACTTTTAAGATATATATGTATTTATAACTTAAAAAAATAAAAAGCAGAGTTGAGTAACAAAATAAATAAGGTGACATTGAATTATAACCTAATAAATATCAAATTATAACCCAATAAGTATAAAATAAATATCAATGAATCTATACTCATAGTAATAAATGTCTGAAAAAATAACTGAACAAATCTCCTGTGCAGAAAAATTCCAAATAATTAATGTAGATATTGTCCCTTCAAGAAGGTAGAACATAACTCCCCACCCCCTAAGTGTGGCTGTTTACAGTGACTTGCTTCCAGAAAGTACAGTATTGGGGGGTTGAGGGATGGGGGAGGATGTGGAGAAACCTGACAAGCACTGCCTCAACCAGGGGACCAAGGTTGACATCATCAGTGGTAAGTCACGAGGACAGCATGCACTCTTGATAAGAAGATGAGAATTGTACTTCACCTCTGTGGTCTTCCTCCCCAAAATGCAAAAACCTAGGCTAACCATGAGAAAAACCCATAATGAGGGCTTTCTACAAAATACCTAATCAGTACTCCCCCAAACTGTCAAGGCCATCAAAAACAAGGAACGTCTGAGAAACCGACAATCCAGAGGAAAACATGATGACTAAATATCATGTGGTATAGGATCATGAGGCAGAAGGAGGACATCAGGTAAAAGGAAATTTGAATAAAGTATGGACTTGAGTTAGTAACAGTGTATCAGTACTGGTCCATTAGTTGTAACAAATATCCCACACTAATCTAAGACGTTAATAACAGGGGCAACCAAGTACAGGATATATGGAAACCCTCTACTATCTTTGCAACTTTTGTATAAACCTAAAACTATTCTAAAATTTAAAGTTTTATTTTTTAAAAAAGGCAAAAAGTTCAAAAGGAATATTATTTATTAAAATTAAAAGCTGGGCCGGGTGTGGTGACTCACGCCTGTAATCCCAGCACTTTGGGAGGCCAAGGCGGGCGGATCACGAGCTCAGGAGATCAAGACCATCCCCCGTCTCTACTAAAAATACAAAAAATTAGCCGGGCGAGGTGGCAGACGCCTGTAGTCCCAGCTACTCAGGAGGCTGAGGCAGGAGAATGGCGTGAACCTGGGAGGCGGAGCTTGCAGTGAGCTGAGATCCGGCCACTGCACTCCAGCCTGGGCCACAGAGCGAGACTCTGTCTCAAAAAAAAAAAAAAGAATCTTTTTTTATTATATACTTCACTAACCTATACAAATAACATATTTTTAAGCACTTATTAAATAAAAGCAATAATGGAAAACTTAATTTCTATAAATTGCTAACATTACAACTAAAACCTCTGCATACTATAAACTGCGTGAAAATTTTACATGGCTTTAAAATTATCACAAGGAGTCCACATATAATCTACCACAAAGGTACAGTTAAACTGAAATTATTTTAATCTCATTTTCATAAAAGATGTAAAATCTTTCAGATTTGTCAACATTGTTGACACAGAATACTTAATTATCACTGTTTAAAGTTTCCTACTTGACTTTACATAGAATACTCAAAATATCACAGCATAGAAAAAGATATCCTATTTGCCTGAAATCATCTTTAAAATCTGTGCACTTTATTACGCATCAAAAAAGGCAATTTGAATGACAACTATAGCTTTTAAAGCAGATAAACTCAAATGAACAGTTTTATTGACAAACATAACTTAAGAATTTTACTGTTCCACTAAGAAAAATAAAATATTTGATTTCGTCAATTTTTTTTGAGACAGACAGAGTCTCACTCCATCACCCAGGCTGGAGTACAGTGGCGCCATCCCAGCTCATTGCAACCTCCGCCTCCTGGGTTCAAGTAATTCCTGTGCCTTAGCTTCCTGAGGCAATAAACTTTAAAATGTGGTTACAGTTATTTCACCATTTGGAATGACCTTGCTGACAAAGGTTTCCGTGTTACCACCTCAATAGCAAAATGTCAAAACAAAGACAAAAACAAAAAACGGCACAAGGAATACCATGACCACACGTATGGGAGGTAAGGGAGCAAGAAAAGAAAAAAATTACACATATTTTACACATATGTCTTAAAATATCTGATCCAAACCAAAAGACACAGAATATACATTTGAACCCTCATGTATTGTTTCTCATAGCAGTTTCTGGATTAAGGTGACAGATTTCATTTTGCTCCCTCCTGAAACCTTCTTAAAACCACGCTAAAGAAATATTATTAGGCTGGATGCAGTGGCTCACGCCTATAATCCCAGCACTCTGAGAGGCGAAGGAGGGCAGATGGCTTGAGCTCACAAGTTCGAGACTATGGGTAACATGGCAAAACCTTGTCTCTACAAAAAAATGCAAAAATTAGCTGGGCATGGTGGCACATACCTGTAGTTCCAGCTACTTGGGGGGACTGAAACAGGAGGACTGCTTAAGCCCAGGTGGTTGAGGCTGAAGTTAGCCAAGATAGCGCCACTGCACTCCACAGCCTGGGTGACAAAGTGAGACCCTGTCAAAAAAAAAAAAAAAAAATCGTTAAAGACTAACTCATAAGGATAAAGTAGGAGACACATGATTAAAAAAATAAAAATCTGAATGTAGATGAACAAGTGAGTACTGCCTCAGCAGACCTAAGAAAGTCCGATCTCAAACTAAAAAGGAAGGTGAGGTTGAGAACACAATCCTCAAAAAGCAATGATAACGAGGAGGGGTGTCTCTAGAATAGGGAACTGGCTGGAAGCTGTTTATGGAGCAGATTCCTAAACTATCTCTCTCCCCTTCAGCTATCAAAGGTCTAGTCTCCAGAGGAGGTAAACTGAGGCTCCCTGGACTGGCAAAAACCACGCTCAGTTGTGAACAAAGGTATTGTACAGAAAACTGAGGATTTAAGTGACAATACACATAGTAAATGGTGTGTGCACAATAAATGAAGCTTTCTTCCACCACTCAGCCATGAGAATACCAACAGCAAGACCTTCATGCTTCAAGCAGGACACAGGAAAAGGCCTCTCCATGCCATCGCTCCCCTAGAGCTTACTCTCGAGGACAGACCTCAAGATACTAACAAGAGGGATTTCCCCCAATAAAAGAGACAATGAAAATCATCCAATGGTTAAGTCAAAATTGATAAGGCCCATTCACTGGCTCAGAGCTTCCAACTCGCTACATAGTACCACAATGTTAATGAGGAGCAGAAAATGAAGAATTAATAAACATCTGAGCACGAAACAAAAAAAAAACAAAACAAAGAATAGGAAGAAGCAACTTAGAAGAAACAGACCATGCACAGAGGAGAGAAAAAAAAACCTGTCATTAATAGCCTCAGAAAGGTAAGATAAAATACTACATCCAAGACAAAGAAACAGGATTTTAGTATTTTTTTAAAAGGAAGATTTTAAAAACAAAAGAGCTCTTAGATAATAAAAATATGGTAGCAGAAAGGAAAAACTGGATAGTAGGGTTGGACGACCAAGATAAGGAAATCTTAAGAAACTGAACACATACACATACCCCAAAGAGAAAAAGAGACAAAGAGGAAAACTGGAGAGAATGATAAGAAAGTCAGAAGACCAAAACAGGAAGTCCAACATTCAATAAAATCACAGCTCAAGATAAATACGAGAGGGAAAAGAGGAAGTTGTCAAGAAAGGTTCTCAGAATCAAAGGACACAACTGCCAGATTGAAAATACCCATCAAAAATACCTCATGGATGAAAGCGGCCAACACAAGGGCATGTCACTGTAAAACTGCGGAACCCCATAGACAGCGAAGATTCTATAAGCTTCCAGCCACAAAGAATCAAAAATCAGTGTGGATTCAGATTTCTCGACAGCACACTGATAAAGTTTCTACTCTCCTTTCCATGCCCTGCTCTGACATTCATTTCATCCTACCAGAATTTTTCATTTGACCTAATTCTAAGAACTGGAAGAGGGCTTTGAAGACTTCAGAAGCTGAAGATACAAAGTAGCCCATCTCTCTGACCATATAGCCACAAGATGTCAGATACTCAGTCCACACTACAACCCTGCCTGATGCCCTGACTGAGGTAAACCCTGAGACTGTCTCCTGACCTCGCCCACAGACTTCTCAGAAGAACTTCTCGAAAACCCTCAGGAACACTGAGGCCAGACTATGACCCTGAGTCTGTTGGGATCATCTTCTCCTGGGGGATTCCAACCAATAATGGCAGAGCTGACCTTTCCTTAGACAACTAGGTATTTTCTTGCTGTTCCATTTTACATACAGATACGGTAAAACCAAAAAAGAGAAGTAAAACAACCCCAACACCAAAGTTAGGGATGGATGACCTGAGCTGGGCTAGAGGGGAACATAACCAAAAACAGGCCCACAGTGGCATTCCATCTAGAAACATCCTTTTTTCTTTTTTTTTTTTTTTCTTTTCTTTTCTTTTCTTTTTTTTTTGAGACAGAATCTCTGTCATCCAGGCTGGAATGCAGTGGCATGATCTCAACTCGCCGCGGCCTCTGCCTCCCAGGTTCAAGCGATTCTCCTACCTCAGCCTCCTGAGTAGCTGGGATTACAGGTGTGTACCACCACACTGGGCTACATTTTGTATTTTCAGTAGAGGTGGGTTTCACCATGTTGGCCAGGCTGGTCTCAAACTCCCGACCTCAGGTGATCCTCCCCTCACCAAAGTGCTGGGATTACAGGGTGAGCTGCTTGCTGCACCCAGCCCCATCTAGAAACATTCTATTTCCTATCCTAGGCATCAAAAACAATGGAATTTTGCTTCTTTCATATATGCTTCCTTTACCTTCTTAAAAACTATTTTAATGCACATATTCCTTCAATTAAAAAATCATTTAACTGGGCCGGGCGTGGTGGCTCACGCCTGTAATCCCAGCACTTTGGGAGGCCGAGGTGGGCGGATCACTTAAGGTCAGGAGTTTGAGACCAGCCTGGTCAACATAGTGAAACCCCACCTCTACTAAAAATACAAAAATTAGCTGGACGTGCTGATGGATACCTGTGATCCCAGCTGCTCGGGAGGCTAAGTCAGGAGAATCGCTTAAGTGCGAGAGGTAGAGGTTGCAGTGAGCCAAAATCACACCATTGCACTCCAGCCTAGGTGACAGAGCAAGACTCCCTCTCAAAAAAAAAAAAAAAAGAAAAGAAAAGAAAAAAAAAAGATGGACTAAAATTAAGTTGGCAAGAATTTACATGTAGTCCTTTCTACATATAAGACATAAATATCTGACACCCGATTAATTCCTTTCATTCTCCATACAGCCTCCCCAGACAAGTCTGGCAACAATTCTGACCATCAGGCAAAATAAATTACCTTTTTTCAGTTTACGTTAGGATATACCTACGTGGGTTTACATTTGGCTTAATATACTACTACCCTACTTCTCCAATAAGTATTTAAGCATTTATAAAAATCAGAAACTTTTCAAGTTAACCACTTCTACTACCCTAGTCTCTCTGAGAAAGACATGACACACCTTACTTCAAGGAAAAAAGGGTCCTTTTTCCTCACAAATAGTTCCTCATAAACTTTTTTTTTAATGCTTTTAAAACCAGATTCTAAATTAATCTAGATTTGCAAAATTATAAAGGAAAAATCTTGCCGGCTGTTGCTTCGGTTATGTTAATTTCACAATTTAGTAAACTGCAACTACGTATTTAATACAAAGCAGACTTTGTTGTGGGGGGGGACGAGGAGTGTTTAACAAAATGCATCTCAGCACCAGCCTAGAGAAACTTTTCTGTGTGAAAACAGAAGAGGGGTTACCATGGAGAAATTCATTACGGATTTCGGGAGGGCTTTTTCCTCAGAAATAGAGTGAAAAGAAAAAGTCATCGTGTAATAAATCTGATATCGACGCTGTGTGACTTAGAATTTGGTCCAAAAGTTCATCTTCGGCAACCATGTCTAGATGATCAACTACACATCTTCTCCAACAGGTGACACGAAACTGCATTTCCCAAGCAAGGCAAAGCGATCAAGTAAGACGCGCGTTCCTGTGGTTTTGTAGTTTTATTTTTGATTTAACCAAAAACAATTCTGAATCGGATGAATTACCAAATTTGGTTGGGTCTTGTATGGCTTTCTGCTTTGCTTTTTAATCAGCCATTTACCAGCGACTGTTGCACAGGCCCATTAGCACTCGAAGAATGAAAATACACACACGGGACCAGATAAGGTTCCCCTACTAACCCAAATGATCCGTTTCCTTAACACAATTTTAAAACCACAGCTAGGGGTGTGAAAACAGGCATGTTTTTATATGTGTTTGTGTGTCACAATCTGTCCAAATCCTTAATTCCCTTTTAAGTAATAGATATCTAATAAAAAATCCGAAAGGAACCACATTAGAAATGCAACGAGGTTTGCAAAACCAGAGGCTTCTTTCATTTCAGAAAACCACAGCAAAACAACGGGAGAGAAATGAATGCAATGGATATGTGTCTGCCAAAGTTTCAATCCTGCCCGGTGGAGACACTGCACTGGCACAAATTTTAAAGAGGAAAATGAGGGGATTGGTGGGGGAGAGAGAGAGCGAGCGAGTGTGGCCTGCAAACTGCAACAATGCAATCTCCATTTTGAACAATGCGCCTGTTTCCTCTTGTAAATCTAGTTTTTTGCCACTTGATGTGCCGTCGCATTTCCCCTCCGTTTGGGGGGGAGGCGGGGTTGGGGGGAGATCGGAGCAGGATGCACAGCACTCGAGTGAGCAAGGGGGTAGGGCAGAGGAGGTGGGGAAGGAGTCTGCAGCAACTGGGCTGGGTGGGTACCTGGAGTGCTGCTGTAGGTACTATGGCTCCTGAAGCTGCTTTCCGTGCAGTAACTGGCGTCGTCGTCGTAGTCTTCCATCTCCGCCGGATAATCGGAGTCATCGTCGTCGCCCTCTATCTCATCCTCCTCGTCGTCCTCAGAATCCTGGGTCTCCTCGGCGTCGCCGTCCTCTTCCTCCTCGCTCCAGGAAGATGCTCCGTGGTCATCGTACACCACTTTGTTGACCGCCCTCCAGGCGGCGGTAGTCCGAGCCAGGTGGCCGCGGCTGCTGTCCCCGCCTCCTCGCCCCCTCCACCCGGGCGCTGGTGCTTGGGCCAGCGGCCGCTTCCTCTGGCTACTGCTGCTCCCTATGGGCGAGCTCAGCCGCCTCTTGAAGGCCACCTCAACCTGGCCCTGCTGCTACCGCGGTGCTGCGAGCGGAGTCCCCCGATGGTCCGAACCTCGGCGGCAGCGGGGCTGAGGCGCAGCGCTCCGCAGCGGGAGCCGCGGGCTGCTTGGGCGGTCTGCCCCACCTCAATTTCGGAGCCCAGGCGGGCGGAGAAGGGAAAGCGGAGGTAGAGGGGCGAGCGCGGGGTTGGGGGGGCGGTGGGGAGCCCCGGGACCGGGTGGGGAGGCCTGCGGGGCCGCGCAGGACGGGCCCGGCCGGCGGAAGCGGGTGGAGGGAAAACGCTCATTGCGAATTGCTGGGGCCCCACTCAGAATCGGCTTCAGCCGCGCTCTTGTTTCTTCCCTCTCCCGTGTGAGCTGAGCAGCCGACAAGCCTGGGACACAGCGAGGCAGCACGGTGGCCGCTAGGGGGAGCGCGGGAGCGTCGAGTCGGGGGCGGGGAGCCTGGAGCTCCTGAGATCGGTGCAGCGCAGTGCGACTGGACTCCCGGCGAGGGTGGCACTGCGGAGAGGGGCGCATAGCTCGCGAAATGCCCCGCGTCAAAGACCACAGTCTCCGCGGACCCCTGGCTGGAGCCCAAAGCCGCTCGGACCTCTTCCCCGCGTCTTCCCTTCCGCAGCTCGGAGAGGAAGGCAGGGAAGCCCCCAAATATCATTCCCCTCCAGCCCCCTATGGAAACTGATGCTGAAAGAGCCAGCGAGAGAAAGAAAAAAAAAGTCGCGGAGAGGGGCGGCCCGAGCGACCGAAGGCACCAAGGCACCGGGCAGCGCCAGGGACGGAGGGAAATTAGTTGAGGGGGGAGGGACAGGGAGACAAGCCCCCAGAATTATGGAAACCCAAAGCTTGGAGCTGGAGTCCTGAAATTGACTCCGATGACAAATGCTCCGGATCTGTGCCAGGAGCCACGCCCCGGGCTGCCACGCCCAGAGGGAGGGGCGCCCTAAGACCTGTTGGGTGGAATCCCCACTCGGAAAGCCTCAGTAAACTCCAGAACGCAACTACTGCACGTTCCAAACTCCCGCCACCTTCCCAGTGCCCCAGCGAGGACCTCGATCACCTCAGCAAGCACTTACCTCTTCTTTGCAGTGGAAAAGAGGGAATCCTGCCTAAAACCCGCTTCACGGTGTTAAATGCTTGTATTATCGGCAAATAACCTTAATTGATTTTCCTGACAAGTCACGAAGTTTCAGCTTAGCCCAAAGGACGAATCATGATGACATTTCAGGCACCCTCAAACCTTATCACAGGGACTCAACCCTGAGTGGTTGAGGTCAGCTCTTCAGATAAGAGAAAGGTTTTATAAACATATATTAATATTTATTGAGATAAGTGACAACCAAAAAGTAATTTAAGGAAAAACAGTTGACCGGGCGCGGCAGCTCACAACTGCAATTCCAGCCCTTTGAGAAGCCAAGGCCGGATGACAGCTTGAGGTCAGGAGTTCAAGACCAGCCCGGGCAACATAGCAGGACCTCGTCTCTAGAAAAAATTTGAAAAATTAGCCGGGCGTGGTGGTGCGCACCTGTGGTCCCAACTAGCAAGAGGCTGAGGTGGGAGGATTGCTTGAGCCTGGGAGGTGGATGTTGCAGTGAGCTGAGACCATGCCACTGCACTCTAGCCTGGGTGACAGAGCAAAACTCCATCTCAAAAAAAAAAAAAAAGTGATAAACTTTGATCATTGTCAAAGCTGAATGATGGTTGCTTGGGAGCTCATTATTCTCTTCTTATTTGTGCAGTTTTAAATTTCCCATAATAATTTTTTTAAAAATCAAACCTCCCAAAACAGAACTACTGTCTAGATGAATTTTCTTGGGCCTTAAAGGCTTTTTTTTTTTTTTTTTTTTTGGACAAAGGGTCTTGCTGTGTCACCCAAGCTGGAGCACAGCGGGTTGATCTCAGCTCACTAAAGCCTTGAAGTCCTGGGCTCAAGCGATCCTCCCACATCAGCCTCCTAACTGTGAATATTGGTGTGTACTAACATGCCCGGCTAATTTTTGCATTTTTTGTAGAGATGGGGATTTGCCATGTTGCCCAGGCTGTTTCTTGAACTCCTGGGCTCAATTGATCCTTCCCTGCCTTGGCATCCCATCACAGGTGTGAGCCATGGCACCTGGCCTTAAAGGCATTTTCCTATTCTTCACCTTCTTCTTCACTTGAACCTAAATATCCCAAGGATATTGCACGCCACTTGGGTGACGGGTGCACCAAAATCTCAGAAATTGCCACTAAAGAACTTATTCATGTAACCAAACACCACCTGCTCCCCACAACTATTAAAATAAACATTTAAAAAATAGGTCTAGAGTGAAGTCAACTGCTGAGGCCTGGGAAAGAAGTGAGGGGGCAGGTGAGGCCCATCTCAGGCCCTTGGGGCTGAAGGGAGCCAGGGACTAAGAGGTGAGAACCAGGCGCAGGCTCCAGGGAGACCCTCAGAGACCATGCAGCCTGCAAGGGAGCGGGGGGTGGGGGAGCGGGCTGGGAGATCTCTGGGGGTACAGCAATGTGAGGTGAGGGTGGGAGGGGGACCCAAGAAGCTGCTGTCTCCTAAGTCAGGTCCTAGGGAGGCAGAGGGGCTCTGGGACAGCCCGGGGCTGCAGGTGAGCCACTGGGAGGGAACTGGGTCAGGTGCAAAGAAACCAGCAGAGCCACCCCAGGGCGGCTGCCCCAGCTGGGGCTGTGGGTGGGGGTTGTTGGAGAAGGGAGTACAGGCAAGGGGCTAGCTGGAGTCCCCTCAACTTGGCCTCAGCTTCCAACTGTTACCAACACCCCTTGCCAAAGGCCCCCTAGCTGGCCCCGAGTGGGGACAGGTGGGTCTGTCCCAAGGCCAGTTCCTTTCTCTCAATCACAGCGGCCTCGGGCTGCCCTCGGAGTTTGTCCTAGGAAGTGGGAGCTGGGCCTGGATCCAGAGAGGAGGGGCCCCCACGTGGGTTTTAGGATTCGGGAAAGGGAGGGGAGAGTGGGGAAACTGCTATGGCCGCCCTCTAGTCCCCCAGGGGCGAGGGCTCACTCACAGTTCCCAGCAGAGGAGGAGGAATGAGGGCCCCGGGCTCCTTCCAGTCGGGGCTGCCTGCTCAGGTGCTGCTTGTATGAGAAGGTGCAGCAGCCTGGCCGGAAACTCCCTCCCAGCAGCCAATGCCCCAGCAGCAGTGGCAAGCTCCAGGCCAGTCCCACCCGCCTGAGTCTTCTCACCTCTGGGCAGGGATGGTGACTGCACCCTGAAATCCCAGAGCCAGGATGGCAGCCAGGGGGAAGAGTCTCAGAGGCCCCTTTATTGAACCGCCCTCGGCCTGGCTTCCCAGGGCTCCCTGAGTGGCCTCTTTGGGGGAGGGGAGGAGTCATCCCTGCTTACCTCCCCCTGTCTTTCTCTCTCCGCTCTCAGAAGGGTTTGCTTCTGCCCTCTCCTAGGCAGCAAGAGAACAGGAGACGTCCCTCTCCTGGGACATCATCAACTCTCCCACCACAGGGCTGGGCACACAGGATGCTCAGAAGAAAGAGCGCTTGCTTGCCTTCGGCTTGTACTGTTCTTGCCGAGGGGAACAGGGTGGCCAACCCTAAAGGCCACCTGGTGGCCAGGGGCTTGGGGTCAGGGGGCCTGGAACTGTCCTGGACACAGCCACTTCCTGGCTGTGTGACCTTCATCCTGTCGCTAAACCTCTCTGAACCTGTTTGTACTCAGGGCAAATGGAGGTGTCCATGCCTGCCTTCCAAGTTGCCGGGAGCTTAACCCTGGGTACAAGCCTTTGAGCAAGAACCCACAGGATTCTTAGCCCCTTTGGGACTGCATCTTACCATACTCTGTCCCCAGTGTCCAGCACGGTGACCAGCCCACACCAAGTGCTCAATATGTGTGACTAGAGTGCATGGGGAGTGACAAGGCTGTAAAACACCATCCATGGCAGAAGCTTCTCTGTTCTGGGGGTCCCTGGCCCTGCCCGGTGGCCTGCTCTAAGCCCTGAGCTGCTGCCTAATAGAGGGGGGTCCCCACATGCTCCCCAGTGCCCCCATGCCATGCCATCCCCACATCCTGCCCCCTCTGTTCTGCACCCACTTTCTTCTGAGATCCCTTCTCAGCAATGACCTCCTCCCCATCTTCAGCCTCCCCAAATCCTGCCCCCCCCACCTGAACCTGGGGACCATGTTTCTATCCATGACCTACTCCCCCTCTGGCCCCACTGTGTCTCTCTCCTCCTGCCCGTTGTCCACACGCTCAATTCGCACCCTCACTTCACTCCTGACCACTGCCCTCTGCCTTCAGCACGCCCCCGACCAGCTAAACTTCTAGTGGCCACTTCAGGTGTTATATGGCCTTTCTCTCACGTGACCTTCCTGTGGCTGCAGAGAATCTGCAGTGCCGTAGCACCACCTCCCTCCGCGAGCCTGCGCCCCGGCCCCTGGGTCGGGGTTGGGATGCGGGCTCTGCAGACGCCCCGGCGAACAGCTCTACCTGGGGGCTGTCCCTGCCCCACTTAGTCCAAGGGCCTTGGTGTGGGGACCTCCGCTGTCAAGGCGGGGGCACGGTTCTCTCGGTTTCTCTCTCCTTCCCCAGCGGCTTCAACGCAGACGTGAGCCCGAGCCGGGCCCGCCCCGCCCCCTGCTCTCCGGCTCTCACGCCGCCCCCCGAGAAAGGCTGCCCACCTGCCCTGGGACCCCTACAGTGCCCCCACGAGAGTGGCCCCTGGAGAATGCGCTCCGAGACAGTGACTATCCGTGCGGAGTCCCCGAGCAGGGGCCCCCAAAGCTCTCCGGAGTGGTCACAAGCCCCACTCCCGCCCCGACTCCAGTGTGTCAGGGATGGGGGAGAGCCTAACTAAATCTGCCTGCGCCCCTCCACCAAAGCCACGAGTCGGTGGTCTTCTCCGGAAGTGCATGGCCCCTCCAGACTCCCACACTGACCACACCTCCTCCTGCCTCCTAAGGTGACCCGGACCAGGGGCCAGGAGACCGCCGCTGGCCGAGGCTGAAGAACCGAAGAAGCAGGGTCCAACCAGGGCCCCCGTAGGGCTCCTTCGCCACTTTCTCAAGCGTTCCTCGACGAGGAAAAAGTGTAAACTGAGTCACTAAGCACACTGGGCCCCGGAGGCGGGGTAATCAAGCTGCCCAGACTGGACCAACAAACCCCAAGGAGGACACTGCCCCGGCGCCCCTTCCCCCTGGACCCCGCAGTGCACTCACGTCGGCTGGGCGGGCCTCAGGGAGCCCAAGGGCCGGGTGGGCGGAGCCCGCAGGTTAGGCCCCTACCATCGCCCTGGGCCGGGCTTCCAGGGGCGAAGCCAGAGAGGCTGCGCGGAACCGGAGCCGGCAACGCGAGCGAAGAGGGACAGAGACGCTCAAGAGTATTGTCACCGATACCCAAAGCAGCTGTGTCTGGGCGGGGCGAGGAGGAGCCTGAATGCCTCTGCTGGGGACCTTGGGGGGCACGGGGAAGACGAGGCCCGGAGCCGAAGGTCGGGGCCCGGAGCCGGGAAGGCTGCGTCTGGTCGCTGGCTTAGCTCAAGGAGGGTGGGGCCGCCCCTGCCCCGCCTTCCCACTTCTCCCCTCCCCTGGGGATTTGCTGTCCCGGAGTCCCTGCGTCCCTCCCGCGCGCGGCTCTGGGAATGCTGGGCTGAGGCTAGTTGTCTGGTCCGGGCGTTCCCGTTCGCGGGGAGGTCATTTGCACCCTGAATCACCCACTGCTACCGGACTGCAGACCCGCCCGCTCCGGGCCCACCTCCCACACCAGGGCCTTTCCCCGCACAGCTCGGCCGGGCCTGGAAAAACTCCGAGAGGGATTCCCAGCGCAGGAACGCCCACCGGGCGCAGTGTCTCGGGCTGGATAAGAAGGGGACCCGGCCACGGCTCCTTCCCCGACATGGGGGAACACAGAGAAGGGAAGGGATTGGGGGCGGGGGTGCCAGGAGGATCCCTGGAGCGCGAGAGAGCACCCGTAGCCAGCAGGTCTCCTGCGTCCACCGCCTACGTGACGCAAGATATAGCGGCGTCAACGCCTGAGTCGGCGCTGGGGGCCTCGGCCTGCTCCCCTCCCATCCCCCAGTGGAGGGTAGCCCTTCGCCTACCTTCTCCTTCCGGTGGGATGCGGCCCGTGCAGCTCCCGCGCCAGTGCGGAGTCAAGGGGAGCAGGCGCGCAGAGCTCCCAGGTGCGGACCAGCCACCTCCCGCACCCTTTCCTCCTCCACCCTGCCCCTTTCCCCACCCCCACCCTACTTCCCACCTCAACCCCCGCTCGGCGCCCCACTCCCGACCCTGCCTGCCCGGGCACCTCGGGGGGACCGCTCGCCGACCTCGCCTCCACTTGCCCCACAGGCGCGCATGGGCTCGGCATCCCGCGCTCCCTCCTCCACCGCGCGGCTCCCGCGCTGCCAGGTTTCCTGTGTAACAGTATAACCAGGGAGGCACCGGCGGAGAGCGCCCGACAGAACTTCCTCCCGGACTGGGGCTGGGCTGCGGTTGCGAGAAACAATCCCCGGCGTCCTGGCTTTCTGTCCCCTCTGGGCCGGGTCAGTGCATGAAGAGCGAAGACGCCACCCCCTCCTCTGCACTTCCCGGGACCCTGGGACACACCTGGCTGTCTCCAAGAAGGAAGAGGCCGCGGGGCTCCGATGGTGGGACTGGGGATGGCGGGAGTCTCCCCTGCAGCTTCTCCTGGCCAGATTGCCTTCCCGTCAATCCCCACTCCCTCTTGATCCTTGCGGGGGAAGGAGGGCCACCTTCCAATCCGTCCACGGGGTAAGCTCCGAACAACCTCCTAGAGGCCAGCAGTCCAGCCCCAGGACCCTCTGCCTTGGGGGTCTTCTGTTTGGGAATTACCTGCCTCTCTGGACAAGCTGCCTCGCCCTGATCGGACCCTGCGCTCACACCAGACATCACAAGCCCCAGCCCCAGCAGACCCCCTGCCCTCAGGGGCCCCAAGGAACAGTTGTGCCTGTGGACCCGGCTGTGTGTGCCGGGAGCTGGCTGATTCAGGCCAGTGTTCTGGGAGGAAGAGGGGCCCGCACCCCAGGCCATGGCCCCTGTTGACACCACCTCCTGGGGGTTCAGGTTGGGTGGGAAGCTGAATCTGGCCACGCTAGTTCTGGAACTCCCTTACCTCTGTATCTTTGCCCCTGCTAGGCGACATCATGGATTTGCAATAATGAAAACCCAGACCATGGGTAATATCTGCAGGATGCATGATGTGGCTTATTCAAGAATAAAGAGAGGCCGGGTGCAGTGGCTCATGCCTGTAATTCCAGCACTTTGGGAGGTTGAGGCGGGCCGATCACCTGAGGTCAGGAATTTGAGACTAGCCTGGGCAACATGGTAAAACCCCATCTCTGCTAAAAATACAAAACATTAGCCAGGCGTGGTGGTGTGTGCCTGTAACCCCAACTACTTAGGAGGCTGAGGCAGGAGAATCGCTTGAACCCAGAAGGCAGAGGTGGCGGTGAGCCGAGATTGCCCCATTGCACTCCAGCCTGGGCAACAAGAGTGAAACTCCGTCTGAAAACATAAAAATAAAAAATAAAGGGAAAAAGAGAAAGAGGAATCAATGGATTAAAAGAGATTTAAGAGACATAAAGTAATCATATTGTATGCATCTTGTTTGGATCTTGATTTAATAAAAATGTTAGAAATGCTTTTTGACATAAAGTAGTTGGAAATTTGAACACTTACTGAACATATAAAGATATTAAAGAACAATTGTTTTAAGAAAGACAGAGAGAGATAATGTGCAACCAACACTTGATAAAGAAGAACCCAGCAGCCTATCTATTATTAGAGAAGGCTATGGGGTATGCTGGGAGTCCTAACCCCGGCTCGGCCATCAGTGTGCTGTGTATGCGGCCTTGGCTGAGTCCCCTTCCCTGCCCAGACCTTGATTTTCCCACCTGCCCTTCAGATACTGTCATCATGCAAATATCATCCTTAGCATGGAAACTCACACACTATAAATGGTGAAGGGGTGGAGAGGGGAACCTTCCTCATGGACCATCACAGATGCTTAACATTCTCTTGAAACCTGACAGGCTTTCTCCAGAAAGCTGAACTACAATGCTGACCATCTGCTACCAACACCAACGAGTTCAACACATGAACTAAATATTGGAGAAGGATACTTCTGTTTAAGTGGGTACCATAGAGCCGTAGCGAGGTCCACATGTTAGTGGCAAATCTGGATGCAAATCCTTGCACTACCTCCTACCAGCTCTGTGACTTTGGTCATTTCTTAACCTTTCTGTAGCTTATTTAGTAAGAATGCCGTGAAGATGAGATGACTCCCTTCATACATTGTTGGGCATCATGCCTCGCCCACGGGGAGGGCTCACTATGTGTCCACAATTGGTTTTTTTTTTTTCCTTTGAGACTGGGTGTCACTCTCACACCCAGGTTGTGGTGCAATCATAGCCCATGGCAGCCTCGAACTCCAGGCTCAAGGGATCTTCCTCCCTCAAGCTTCTGAATAACTGGGACTACAGGCACATGCTACCACACCTGGCTAATTTTTGTAACTTTTTTGTAAAGAAGGGGTCTTGCCATGTTGCCCAGGCTGGTCTTGAACTCCTGGGCTCAAGTGATCCACCCACCTTGGCTTCCCAAAGTGTTGGGATTACAGGCGTGAGCCTCCACACCAGGCTCTTTAGGCATTTCTTAACCTCTCTGCAGTTAATTTAGTAAGAACGTTGTCAGCTGGGCACGGTGGCGCACACCTGTAATCCCAGCACTTTGGGAGGCTGAGGCAGGCAGATCACTTGAGGTCAGGAGTTTGAAACCAGCCTGGCCAACATGGTGAAACCCCATCTCTACTAAAAATACAAAAATTAGCCGGGCGTGGTGGCGCACTCCTGTAATCCCAGTTACTCGGGAGGCTGAGGCAGGAGAATGACTTGAACCGGGGAGGCCTCGGAGGTTGCAGTGAGCTGAGATCACGCCACTGCACTCCAGCCTGGGCGACAGAGCAAGACTCTGTATAAAATAAAATAAGATAGCATAGCATAGCATAGCATAGCATAGCATAGCATAGCATAGCATAGCATAGCATAGCACTGTGAAGATGAGATGACTCCCCACATAGAGTGTTCAGCATCATCTCACACACTGGGGTGGCTCAACGTATGTTCACAATTGCTTGCTTTTTTATTTTATTTTTTTGAGACAGAGTCCCGCTCTGTTACCCAGGCAGGAGTGCAGTGGTGGGATCTAGGGTCACTGCAGCCTCCGCTTCCTGAGTTTCAGCGATTCTCCTGCCTCAGCCTCCTGAGTAGCTGGGGTTACAGGTGTGCACCACCACCCCAGCTAATTTTTGTATTTTTAATAGACATGGGGTTTCGCCCTGTTGGTCAGGCTAGTCTTGAACTCCTGAGCTCAAGTTATCTGCCCACCTCGGCCTCCCAAAGTGCTGGATTACAGGCCTGAGCCACCATGCCCAGCCCACTATTACTTTTTCGGGGGAAGCTTCCATTGCAGCACCCCATGGGCACTCCACCATCATGTCCCCTTCCCTCTCAATTGAACCTTCTCTCCTTTACCTCTCTCCTATAAAAGTGACTCTTTGGTATGTCATTTTCTCACTGACATACTAACCCATGACTTGCAGCGCCTGATGATGCAACTTTGACCTCCTTTATAATCGTGGGTTTCAGGCAAGGTGGGAGGCCTTCCACAGTCACCTTGAGAACCACAACTCTTTGGTGCCATCTGCAATCCTCCATATCAGCCCTGCAGATAACAGACAGGCAACTATGGCTGCTGCCTCGTTGGAGTAGGACATTCTTTTAAAAAGATCTGGGAGCAGCACTTTGGGAGGTTGAGGCAGGTGGATCACCTGAGGTCAAGAGTTCGAGACCAGCCTGACCAATATGGTGAAACCCCATCTCTACTAAAAATGCAAATTTTTTTTTTTTTTTTTTTTTTTTTTTTTGAGACGGAGTCTCACTCTGTCGCCCCAGCTGGAGTGCAGTGGTGCGATCTCGGCTCACTGCAAGCTCCGCCTCCCGGGTTCCCGCCATTCTCCTGCCTCAGCCTCCCGAGTAGCTGGGACTACAGGCGCCCGCCAACTCGCCCGGCTAATTTTTTTGTATTTTATTAGTAGAGACGGGGTTTCACCGTCTTAGCCAGGATGGTCTCGATCTCCTGACCTCGTGATCCACCCGTCTCGGCCTCCCAAAGTGCTGGGATTACAGGCTTGAGCCACCGCGCCCGGCCAAAAATGCAAAAATTAATCGGGTGTGGTGGTGGGACTACAGAATCCCAGCTACTCAGGAGGCTGAGACAGGAGAACTGCTCAAACCCGGGAGGCTTTGAGTTGCAGTGAGCTGAGATTGCACCAACTGCACTAAAGCCTGGACAACCTCCCTGTGCTCCCGGTGTTCGGAGACCAACAATATGGAATCAGGAGCCAGAAACCAAGGCCCAAGTCTCAGCTCTGAGTATTATGGGGGTATTAACACCGACCTCCCAGGATAGGCAGCACAGAGCAGGGAATTCTAAGTATTGAAGCCCTGAAACATCCACTTACTGTACATAAGTCGCTGCTGTCCTCTAGTGGCCACTGGATAAATTGCACAGCACACTGGCCTGAAGAAGGGGAAGTGGGAGATGCTTTTCCCCACTTCTGAATCTACCTGATGCTGGGGTTCTTAACCATGCTCCACTCATGACTTCCTTTTCATAAAATATATTTTGTATAATTACAGTAATTTTTAAGCATTTTAGGCAGATTTATGGAGGTATTGACATATAATAAACTGTGCATGTACAGAGACTACAATTTGTATCTGACCCTTGGTATACAGCTCAAATCATCACATTCAAGATAGTGAAGATATCCGTCCTCTCAGAAAGTTTCCTTGTTGCCCCTGGTGATCCTGCTTTCTGCCCTTTCTACTTCTCCATCACCCCCAAGCAACTACTGATCTACTTTCTTTTTGTTTTCTTTCCTTTGTTTTTTGAGACAGAGTCTCACTCTGTCACCCAGGCTGGAGTGCAGTGGCACGATCTTGGCTCACTGCAAACTCTGCCCCCCAGGTTCAAACGATTCTCCTGCCTCAGCCTCCCAAATAGCTGGGACTACAGGTACGCAACACCATGCCCGGCTAATTTTTGTATTTTTAATAGAGACTGGGTTTCACCATTTTGGCCAGGCTGGTCTCAAACTCCTGACCTCAGGTGATCCGCCCACCTCGGCCTCCCAAAATGCTGAGATTACAGGCGTGAGCCACCGCACCTGACCCTGATCTGCTTTCTATCATCATAGGTTAGTTTATATTTTCTAGTGCTTTCTAGACATGGAATCCTACAGTGTGTACTTTTTTTGTCAGGCTTCTTTCACTCACCATAATTATTTTGAGATTTATCCATGTTGTTTTGTGTGCCAATAGTTCATTACTTTTTACATTTTTAATTGTAGTTTTTGTGGGTACATAGTAAGCGTATGTATTTGTGGGATACCTGAGATGTTTTGATACAGGAATGCAATGCATAATAACCACATCATGGAAAATGGAGTCTCCAGACCCTCAAGCATTTCTCCTTTGTGTTACAGACAATCCAATTATACACTCTTATCTTTATTTTCATTTATTTATTTAACTTATTTTTGAGATGGAGTTTCACTCTTGTTGCCTAGGCTGGAGTGCAATGGTGCTATCTTGGCTCACTGCAACCTCCGCCTCCTGGGTTCAAGCGTTTCTCCTGCCTCGGCCTCCCAAATAGCTGAGATTACAGGCATGTGCCACTAGGCCCAGCTAATTTTGTATTTTTAGTACAGACGGGGTTTCACCATGTTGTTCAGACTGGTCTCGAACTCCTGACATCAGGTGATCCACCTGCATCCGCATCCCAAAGTGCTGGGATTACAGGCGAGAGCCACCGTGCCCAGCCGTTAGTTATTTTTAAATATACAATTAAATTATTATTGATTATAGCCACCCTATTGTACTCTCAAATACTAGGTCTTATTCATTCGGGGGTTTTTTTTGTACCCATTAACCATCCCCACCTCTCCTCACTACTTTTTATTGCTAGGTTCTATTCCACTGTATGAATGTACCAAAATGTATTATTAATTCAGAATGATAGTAATTTTAAAAATCAATATAATGCCCTAACTAAAATATACAACAGAAACTAACTCAAAGGCGAGTTCTATATAAAGCCTCAGGGAAGCTGGGTGTGATGGCTGACACTTGTGTCCCAGCACCGAAGCAGGTGGATCACTTGAGGCCAGGAGTTCG